ATATAGATAATCGAAAATAATGAACATAAAAAGTATTGAAATACTGGCTTTCATTAGTGAGATTTTTTGTGATAACCATGCACTTGTAACATGTACTTACCTACTTATACTAATAATAAAATCTGAGGGCGCTTGGGTTTCTAATGCTTATGGAATTCATTTATCGTTTATGGCATACTCTGGTCTTTTCAACTTTTCTAAATTTAGTCGTTAATTGAGAATTTTATTCTTAGAAATTATCAAGTATCGGAAAGTGTTCGAAACATCGATGGCCAAGTTTTAACAAACAGGAAGCAATATAACAACTTGTAACAAAAAAAGACACAGGCCATTGCGGATTAATAAACCATTTTTCAGCTTTGAGGTGATTACTCACGAAGTTGGCATAGGATATCCAATCTCAGTTTCCCAGAAATTCGGTCCTGAAATTATAAAAAAATTGACCCTAATATGAAGATGAAATGAAAACAATTTGACAAGACACTTATTTGTCTTTAAATTGATGTGTACATTTTTTTATATAATTATAGTGTTCTGATACATCTACAGTGTTGTAATAAAGGTCTCTGCCCCTATATAACGCATATTAACTTTCGAGGTCTGCCTTTTTTTTTTGTTCAAACACCGGCAAATTCAGCATAATGGACAAAATTCACACTGATTTTAATTTTTCTTATGCCTTGTAGCCGGCCAGGTAGCCCTGCGGACAGAGTGTCCATATTCTAATCCGCATTCGCTGGCCGGTCGTGGGTTCGATTCCTATCGACTGAAGAAATTTTTCTGATGGCCCAAGAAAGTGTTTGGGATCACACGTTAAAAGGTAAGGCCCCCGTCATTCCTTGCTCGCACAAGTCTTTCGAAGACTTCTGAGGGTTGCTCGTACGGGGGCAACCGAATGACGGATATAACAATTTTAGAACAATAACAACAACAACAATTGTAGATTGATTCTTCACAATTCATCCGACTTATCGTCGTTTTTGAACGATTCGTTTCATATCATACAGGGTGACATTTTGAAAACTCCCCCCTCAATATCTGCCTTCCAGAAAATAATTTGAAATGAATTAGTTCTAGCCCTCTTGGTTCAACCCCCTAGGAGAGGTAGATGTTATACCTATCCTTTGAATCTCGAAATTGAACGGGGGCCATTTTGAAGGGCGTTCAATTCTCATCCCAACGGTACCCTAGTATATTTCTCTATTGTGCAATTTTCACTTCCCACTCGTAATGAAAAATCGAAAAGACATATCGATTTCATTTTCAAGGAAGAAGACACTTGAAATGCATATTTTCTGCCCTCTTGGTTCAACCACCTAGTAAGGGTAGTTGTTACTCTTATAGATGCATGGTTTTCAGTCCAAATGGTACATATTGAGCTGAAAGGAGAGTCAATACAATAATACTAACCTGAAAAGTGAAAACCATACATCTCAGTGCAAGTTATTCTGATTATACTTCTGTAAGTTTAGAACGGCATTTTTCGGAAACTGCTCATCAGAAAACTATGATACTGTTGGAAAGAGAATTGAACGCTCTTTAAAATAAAGTGCATGTTTTGACCCTCTTTTTATACAGGGTGTCCCAGAATAACGTTCATATACTCCGGAAGGTCGATCTACAGATAAAAATAAGAAAAAGTGTTCCTATCAACAGGTGTCCGAAAATGCTTCCTAAGGGCGCTATCCAGCCCTTTGAAGGTTGGTCCCTAAATGCAGTTTTCTTCAATTATCTTTGTTACCATTGATCCTAGAATCATGAAATTTTGTACCAATAGGTGATTTGATCTCATAAATCGTTTGAAGGAATGGAAAAAATTATATAATATACAGGCGGGAGGTGCGAAACTTGTAACCCGTGTTATAAAACTGTCCCAATTTTTTTGTCTCACACTGTATCTTCTTGCTAGTACCAGAATATGATTTTCCAAACACTTCTCCATGAAAAAGGTACTCTTGTTGGAATGCCGTAAAACGAACCGTTTTCAAGATAACTGTAATTTTCATTTCGATGTCCTAAAGAATTCACTTGCTGAATGAGTACAATTTCGCCAATTTTCGTTTCGGATAACTACTCTGTTACCAGACAAAATCGTAAACTGAGCAGGAGTAGGCTATAGAATTGCACACATTTAATTTCGAAGTACCTTGGCGATTGAAAAAACCAAGTAGGCTTGCTTCAGTTAGGCACATGTCAAAAGTTTAAATAGCACTAATTAGATACTTATTGCACTAAGTTATTTTCAAATTAGCACCTTAAAATGGAAGCATACACTTTTGCGGAAATGGCTGATATGCATTTATTTTATGGCAAAGCCAATGGTAATGCACGTGTAGCGCGAAGAACAAGAATCATTCCCAAACCGGACAATTCCTTGCGAAAAAACTTTCATCAATCTGCACCAACGTCTCTGTGAAAAAGGATCTTTCAAACCGGAAAAAAGAAACTGTGGTCAACATCGCACTACTCGGAGTGCTGAAACGGAGGAGCGAGTATTGGATTTGATTGCAGGAGAATCAGGAATTAGTGTTAGGAGAATTTCTACCCAAGAAGGTATCTCAAAAAGTTCAGTATGGATAATTATTCATGAACAATTACTCTACCCTTACCAAGTGCAGAGAGTTCAAGCTCTCAAACCTCAAGATCTAGCGCTCAGGTTACAATACTCTGCAATTAGCTGTGTGATAATTGTCTTGAAAACCCAACTTTTCTGGAAAGTATCCTTTTTACCGATGAGGCAGGGTTCACCATCAGAGATGGAGTATTCAATTTTCACAATACTCATATTTGGGCTGATGAGAACCCACACACAGTTTTTGAATCAAATCACCAAGAAAAAATGTCTATAAATGTATGGGCAGGAATAATCGATATTTATTTGATAGATCCCTACGTACTGCCTAATCGTTTGAATGGTGAGAGTTATTTACATTTTTTACATGTTCTGAGAGATCTCATGGAATATGTACCATATTTACTGAGGTCTGAGATGTGGTTTATGCACGATGGGGCACCGCCACATTTTTGTCGCGCAGTTAGAGAATATTTGAATAATAATTATTATCCAGAGAGATGGATTGGACGTGGAGGACCTGTGTCTTGGCCTTCTCGTTCACCAGCGACCTGAATCCCGTCGACTTTTTTTTTTGGGTTATTTGAAATCTTTGGTATATGAAGTTCCTGTCGAGAACGTTGCGGAACTCGAGCAGCGTGTGATGAATGCTTGCGATTTGATAAGAAATAAGCCTGGTTCAGAAAAAAAAGTGAGGGATAATATGAGGAAACGAGCAGGAATCTGCATTGAAATGAATGGAGGACACTTTCAACATCTATTATAAAATCAATTATTTTGGGCGTTGTTCTTATGATAGAAAAAGTGGGATTTGATAATTAAAATTTTCTATTCCAGTTAGTTTTGCTTTACTTGTCATAAATGTGATCTTGATTTGTGGAGAAAATATCCACAACAAAATTGTCTAAATTTGACAGACTTATTAATTCCTGACGTGAATTCTTTCGGATATAAAAAATAAAAATAACAGTTTTCTTGAAAACGGTTCGTTTTACGGCCTTCCAACAAGAGTACCTTTTTCATGAAGAAGTGTTTGGAAAATCATATTCTGGTACTAGCAAGAAGATACAGTGTGAGACAAAAAAAATTGGGACATTTTTATAGCACTGGTTACAAGTTTCGCACCTCCCTGTATATTTTATCATTTTTTCTATTCCTTAAACGATTTATGAGATCAAATTACCTATTGGTACAAAATTCTAGGATCAATGGTAACAAAGATAATTGAAGAAAACTGCATTTAGGGACCAACCTTCAAAGGGCTGTAGCACCCTTAGGAAATTGCTGGACAGCAAATCATAAACTAGGAAACCGTTGGAAAGAGAATTAAAGTCCCTTCAAAATGATGTGTCACTTCACCCTCCTTTTCATCTGAGATTATAAGGGTAACATCTAACCCTCCTAGGGGGTTGAACCAAGAGGACTGAAAATATTTATTGTAAGTGTCCTAATTGTCTTCTCGATTTCTTATATTTACTGGATGGAAGATATTGAGGAAGGGAAGTTCTCAAAATGTCACCTGTATACATGGAAGAAAAGAAAGAAAGAAAGAAGAAAACATGTTTTTTGAGACACCCTCTGGAGTGAACCACTTACAATGGAAAACAGCTTAGTTTTTAACATGGAATAATAATTGTAGTCTGCATTTTTCCGAACATTCTCATGATTCATTCATGCACTGTGATATCTTTATTTATCAAGTCCTGGAACATATATGTTGAAGAATCAATCAATATTTTCAAGAAGTATGAATGCCTATGAAAAAACATCACTCAAACTCTCCTTCATTTCAAGATAATTAATGATAAATTAACTTTTCTGATTTAAAACATCCAGTAAGTACATTATTGTAGTTTCCTTATGGTCAGCTAGTTCATATAGATCTCTCTCTCAAATATCAATTCTCAATTTCAGAGGATTTTCATTTTTCATGCTCTCCTTTTGGATGTTCAACAGATATAATTCAATGTTGGACGTGGCAAAAGTTGTTTTCTGTTGAATATTCAGAATGATATTATGTTTATATACATATTTTTATCTGAAGGATAATGCACATATTCAACTTCAGGAGATTTTTGTTTTCAGATTCTTATCATGTGTGTTCAATAGATATAGTATATCATTTTTTTATGTTCATAATTTCATCTGAGAATATTCCTTTTCAATACTTTCACCCAATCAAGGGGTTCAAACTTGAACTATGGAAACTTGTAATTTTTATAGACCTTTACCTGATTGGGTTTTCTTAATTCAGAATTTTTCCATGTCCTGTATGATGAATATCAATTTGTCATACATCCAAAAAGCATTATTTTAGTATTCATTGATTGATAGAAAATAAGCATACACCATACGCCACCTATTATTGGAGTTGATGCCTTATTATATTGTCTATATTTCAGTACATTACTAGTTTGTGATATTCCATTTATTTACAGTATCTGTCTGCCTTCATTTTACTCCTACGATCTAACAAAACTTCATGCAAACTCCCATCTTCCTTTGCTTTCTTCAAGTCTTCTTTACCTTCCTTGCATATCTTCAACTTTTTGTCCTGGAACTTCTGGAACTTTCTCACATAATTGATCTCAATCTGGGAAATACCACCTATCTCTTCATTTGGTGTACCATCATGACTATGGTCTTCCTTGACTGTCTGAGATCTCAGTTTTATGAACTGACCAGTGCCAGCTTTTACTGCATTAGCTACCAAGGAATCATCTTCAGGATCTATGCTCAGAAAGCAAGTGTTGGAGCCTTGTAATGCAGTTTTGCCATCTTGAAATACTGGTTCCCATTGTTCCATTGCTCCTATGGCATCAGATCTGCCAGTGACTATGCCATTTTTCTCCACTTTCAAGTACTTGTTATATCCAGACTTGAAAGCTACTTTCCTTTCGTTGATAAGCACTGCAGTCAATATTTCTTCTGGAGATGGACCTTCACCTTCTGTATGTGGGGCTCCAATACTAAAAAGGCCATTATCTAAAGCCTTCACATAAGTGTGATTTCCAAATTCAATGGCAATAGGTCCTGTTATCTGTTCAGTTTTTATAATCTTCCACCAATTTCCATGGGCTATACTGTCTTCATCTATTTCTGGGGCTTGTTTCTCTTTTTTATTAGTGCTCTTAAGTTTCCTTTTCTTTGGTCGCTTCTCCCCTTTCAAAATTAATTTACCGATGCGAACGTTATTGTATTCTGACATAATTGGCTACAAAATATATTGTTCACAGAGAATCTCTTCAGTTTGGATAATTTTAATGCATTTCAACTTTTCACTTGTCTTTGACATCCTAACCTAACAATCCTAACATTCTTCTTCTTCTTTTTGGTTTATTGCCTTATTGGATTTCTGTCTCCTTTCGGTAACAATTTCTCCAGATCAGGTAATTAATTTTTTCAAGAATATACAGGGTGGGCCACCAGTAACGCCTCGGTCTCTAGAAGGCTAACCACTTATCTTCTTGGAATTCTTCCTCTCTAGGAAGTTGCATGTCAACATAAAACCATAAAACACTGAAGTTATTTCTATCGAACACCCTATATATTATTTCTTCCTGATTGACATTGACATATACCGGGTGATCAAGATTCTGAATTCTGCACCACCCTGTATTTGTTTCAATTAAATGTCAGTAGATAGTTGATCAAAAGTTGAGATAGGGACATGTGAGCCGTTTTGACCAATTATGAATGGTTAAGACACAAAAAATTCTTGAACTTGGAAAATCTCGATTTCTCACACCCTTTATCTCATCAGTAATTATAACTGCTAGACCCCAAGTATGATGGATTGTTGAAATCAGCTCACCAGGGAGAATCTCAAAATGAAATAATATATAGGGTGTTCGATTGAAAAAAGTTCAACTTCATTATTGTTTTGTGATTTTTGGGGACATCCTGTATGTTTCAAAATAATTTCAAATGGTAGCCTATGTTGACATGCAACTTCCTAGAGAGGAAGAATTCCAAGAAGATGAGTGGTTAGCCTTCTAGAGACCGAGCCGTTACTGGTGGCCCACCCTGTATATGGTTATGTAATAATATTATCTCTCGACTCGAGCACTAAAGACACCGTAGTCCGTCACCATGCCCGGAAGCCGAGTTCATCAATGTAAGATCAATGTCAAAGATTTTATCGTATGTGCTCATGCTGAGCACGTTTGATTTCAAGAATGGCCCCTTTATCCGGTGAATCCGTCATCATCCGGCCTCTATACCGGCGTAGAGATAAAATGGCTTGATAATTTTCACAAACACTTATCAAACTTCACAATATAAATATTGGAATTAGAAAAATTATAGACTTGCACACACATTAACCTGACTTTTGACCTGGAGACGCCATATGTGTCTCCTTCCATGGTCAAGAGGCGAATTCTCCTCAACTCCTACAATTCTTAAACTTGTTTATCAGAGAAGTTGTCTAAATCTTTCGAACCATTTCCATCACGTGATATCGTGATACAAGGTGGGCCAAAAGAATTCATCCGATGTTGTTTGGCTGCCATTTTTTTTTTTTCTAAATGAAAAGCTTCGATTCTGTTTTTTGATTATTTTTATTTCAACCTTTAGAATTTTATTGGTCAAGTCGGGAAGATGATATCAGCCAAATGGGCGCCGTCACAATTGTTTGTTATAGGGGCTCGTTTTATGCATTTTTCATCACTTCGGCGAGAACTTCGGGCGACAGATTGTCGCACTCTTGTCGAATGTTGTGCTTGACGGCTTCCAGGGTCTCGGGCTTGTTCACGTAAACACGGAACTGCAAAAACAAACACCAAAAAGGTCTGGAACGGTTAAATTGGAAGATCTTGCAGGACAGTGCAAATCGCCAAATCGAGAGATGAGGCGATCCGGGAACGCCGCCTTCAGAATATTGGTTATGGTTCGCTCAGTGTGTGCCGTTGCTCTGTCCTGTTGGAACCACATGCCCTCCAGTCCTAATGCGTTCAATTGCAGCAGAAAAAAACTCGGTTAATATGGCCCTATAGCGCGCACCGTCCACTGTTGTCGTTTGACCAGCGGCGTCGTCGAAAAAATGGCCTGATGACTCCTCCAGAGTGAACAGCGCACCATGCATAGTCACTTTGAGCGGGTGTACTGGCTCCTTGTGAATCACTCATAGATTTTTGGTGCCCCAGAAGCGATAGTTCTGCTTTTCCACGTCCCCGGTGAGGTGGAAATGAGCCTCGTCGCTCATTATGATTTTGGTCGAAAAATCGTCCACGAGATTGAGGATGGCTTGGCTTGGATTATTCCGCGTTCTTGGGGAGTGTATTGCTCCATGGCTTGTTCACTTGTATTCTACATATCTGTCTAGTTCACGAATGTCAAAACAGATTTGACATTGACCGCCATTTGCAAAAATAAGAGCTACTTCCAATAGGGTGATTTCTTTTGGCCCACCTGGTATATGTTGAGATTAACTATGCTGCCAGACGTTGATTCTACATTTTCCCGCTAGATGTAGATGCTGCTATTGCTGCTGTGACGAGTGGAAATAAATTGGCAAATGGCATTTTAGGTACACGGAACATATGTAACAGTGGGATTATTCAACTCTGAATTCGAAAAATCTGTGACAATTTCAAAACTGGCAGATGTCATAATTGTGCAATGTCGCCATCTATTAGAAGATTGACGGAACCATTGCTCTCGCTATTCTCGAGAGGTCGAGTAAAATTTCTGAAACAAAAGCGCATCAGTAATTACACCAAATCTTACTTCCATCATTATACAGTCTAAGGAATATTCCCATGATATCAGATTTTTTCTAATTCTTCTAATTAACGAGAAATTTAATCCCAAAAATTGAACAAAATACGAGAAAAAATCAAGTAGGCCACTTTAATATAATTTAAATGATTGAACTCCGCGTGATTGTGCATTGTGCCTACCGCATGGAAATTTGAACCGAGGTGACGTCAGATTTGCTACAGTGTAGAGCTTTGGGTGTAAACAATGAAATGTATGTAAACAACTGGAAGGGACCCACTGTGAACGACGAGTGAGGCAAAAATATTTTTCAGGCAACCCGCAGTGTTTACGGATACCTATCTCTCTCTATCTTGTGATGGCTAATGGGAAGCGCTCGCATAATTTGAAATATTTTCTCGTTTTTTGCTTCTATTTAAGAGTCAACGTGATTAAATAAAAATATTCATCTAGGAAAAAGGATAATGTTGTAATCAATTATCATTAAAAAATTATTACCGACTTTTTTATTGACTTTAAAATGAAATTTCAATTTTACTCTTACAGGATCAGGAAATCAAATGAATACATAATTGAAATTATATATTTTTATTCAAATGTCACAAAATATTGTACAGGGTGAGCGAAGCACAATGTCTCAGAACTATCAGAAGAAAAAGAAAAACGATAGGAAAAATTTGAAAAGAGGTTCTTGAATGGTATTAAGTGCATTTTGAGCATAATTTCCATAGGTCACTGCCTACAAAAATATCCCTATTAGTAATTATAAGAAATATATTCAATCGATAATCAGTGACACCTTAAATTAGATCTGAGACATGTGTTTCGCTCATCCTGTGTACTACTTTTACAGTTTTTTTACATATGTAAAATTCAACAGTTCTTGAATAAAACAAGTTTTGACATTTTTTGCCGAACTGGAGCACTTTTCCCATGTAACTCCAAATTTGTCATTCTGCTATGGTGATACATCCTACACTTCAAATATTTATCAACTACTTTTCGAATAATCTGAATTTCATGGCAATCTTCGTCAAAAAATTCAGTTACAGGGTGGCTAGGTTTGAATAGTTCTTTATTTGAAGCAAAATGATGTATTACTTCATTTATAATTTTTATTTTCAAATTTATCTTTGTTTTCAAAATAATTCCATTGTCTATTAAAATGGAAATTTGCTTTTCCACAAAAATCAAAATTTTATACACAACATCTGAAGCATAAATGAGACCTCCTCTAGTGACAAAATTAGTGAATGATTTATGAACTTCAGGGGTGGCGGTATAAGAGTGATCAGTAGACATACTACCTCTATATAGTAAAATTTCAATACAATGTTCACATGAAGTGGTTATAATGAGGCTGCGAACTATATATATCCAGATATATAAAATACAACATTTTCTTTAAATTCACTCAGATTTTTATTATCTAAGCACTTGATTAACTCATCAATTTCATCAGTATTTGTAGTCTCATGCAGAACATCTTGCGTTCCCCTATCTTCTGAACGAAATTCATCAAATGCAGGGGTGCAGTAACTTTGAAGTTCAGAACAATTTGCACTAACACTTGAACTTACTGAATTTCTGTACAGCAACTGTCTCAACGCCCATTTCAGTTGCTGGGTGTTTGGATTGTTGTTCCAACCACCTCTTGATCGAATGCAAGAAAAATAAATCTCCAAGTGATCTTGGGAGTACTTATATGTCAAGAAGTAGGTAAGTTGTTGGTTATCATCTAAAGTGAATAGGTCATTTGCTAAACCTAGTGTACTTTCCATTGTTAATATGAAACCAAGAGCGAATGTCTTACGTATGTGTTTCAACAATGGAATGCCATCAATGTTTAATGTCTCCAAATATTCCTTTGTCTTTGCAAAAATATCTTTGAAATATTCTAAAGTCTCTGGCCTAATGGGTGCCTTGAATCCTTTTCCAAATGGATTCCTACAATTTAAAATATCAAATATTCTATCCATGATACGTAGAAATTCCACAGTGGCATGGCTTTGTTCAAAACCATTAACATTGGTTTTCTGCAAATATTCAATGGCATCTGCCACACCACTGCTCATGGTTTGCACAGCTAGGCGTACATTCATAATCTTATTTTTGTAGGAAACATGGTGAGAACTCAGTGAATTTGCTAATTTCAATTTCTCTTTGGTTTGAATATCATCCAGAGCTTTGATATAATTCCAAGAAATTTTGCCTGACCTAGAAGTCAGGTTCTTCTCAGCAAAACAATTCCTGGCCAATTTCAACATATGGCAAACATCTAGTATACAATATACTCTAACTATATGATTACTAGGGTGAGCAAAATAGGGTTTTAGATCTTCATTATGAATGTCACAACCTAAATAGTTGTAGGTTGAAATATTGACACTAGCCCCATCTGAGGTTATAGACCTCACAGTTATACCAACCTCATATAAACTCCTCAAACAGGCCATTATTATCTGGGTTTGCAAATGTGCATCTGCC